CCCGCAGGGCACGCAGGTCACCCCGGCTGCACTCCCAGCTTCCACTGGGACGGCCGGCCGCAAGCACTCAGCCTCGGGCAGGGGAGTAAAACTGCTGCAAATGAGAACTGATCTCAGCAATTTGAGCTGCTGATGCTCCTCCCACTGAGAAATCTTGCTTCGCCAGTGGATTGTGGGTTAAATAAAGATGCTGGGTTGCAGGCTCTCCACATGAGAGCCCCCGTGCCGGCTGAGCGCCTGTGCAGGCTGACCGGTTTGCAGGGTTTGCAAGGAGGCTGCGGTTGGCAGGGCAGTGCCAGTCAGAGATGGCATTCGGGCTCTGACACCAGGGCTTCGTGTGGGCTGGGCAAGAGGTGAGGGGCCATCCTGCAGCACGCCCCAGGAGAAGGGACCCACTGCAGCGAGTTATGGGGGAATGAGCCACAGGGACCAAATGAGCGGCCCGTGAGCTTGGTGAGAAGCCAGACGTGCAACTCAGGCTTGCATATGTTGGTCCTTTGCCCAGTCTCAGCACACACAACCCCCTCTCAAAGGTAAAAGAGCAGGATGAGGTGAATTGTAATGGCGTGCAGCTCTTGGTGGGGAGGAGTGCAGGCACTATGGGTCAGCACCCTAAGGGCCATGAGGCACATAGGGCTGTGCCACAAGTGGGCTGTGACCTGACAGTGAGGTCAGGCGCCTGGCTCTCACAGCACTTTTGCAGGCTTGATCATGGACATGCTGCCCTCTGCCAGCATGTGGGAGAGGAAGTAAGCAAGAGCACAGAGACCAGCAAGGAGTCCAGCTCTCTCAGTCTCACTGCTCTGCTGCACCAGGCAGTCCCTACCAAGCAGCTGTGGGGAGAAATGGGGTTCTGGGCCTTTGGAGGGCCTGGGAATCCCTGCAAACCCTGCTGGTAGCCAGGCTTCTGCGTCCCTGCCCAGGTCTGCCCCAGCAAGCTGCCTGCCCTGTCCCATTCACTGGCACAGGCATATTTCCATCCCGCAGCAAATGGAGCTGCCACAGCAGAGCCAGCATCCCTAAGCTCCCTGCACCCCCAAGGTCCCTGCACCCCAGTGCACGCTGCACCCTACTATGCTCTGTACCCCAGTGCACCCTGCACCCCCCTACAACTTCATTCCCTGCACACCAATGGGCCTGTGTTACTTTGCCCCAGTTCACACCTGTCCCCCAGCTTCCAGTGAGCCAGGCTTCCCAGATCCTTGAGCTGGAGCTGGGAGGAGGCCAGAGGGGTCAGTGTCGGTCAGGGTTGCCCTTGGGAGCACCCTTAAAACACATGCCAGGTGACAAGGCAGGCAGGCAGTGCTCACCCCCACACCCCATGCACGCCGCTGCCTGCCTCTGCCCACAGCCTGCTGGCCCTGTGCTTTGCCTGCACGCTTCGGGATTTCTGAAAAGGCGCCTGATCTTGTGCCAAGCACCTCCACGACCACAGTGCCTGCGGGAGGGTGCGCGCCACTGGCACGTACCCACCCCGCAGCACCGGCACCCACAGGGGGCCCTGCCTGACGGACTTTCCCTTT